TCCCACTTTACACACTGGGACAATTTATTTTTGAAAAGTACAAAATATATCATTGTATCAGCAAACATATGCACTCTGAGTTCTGTTATCACTTGTGATTACACAGACTCAATGTCTAAAGTCAAACATTTTAACTCTTCTTTTGTACACAAGGAAACATTAAACCTGGAATATGTAAACCCTCATGTTAGGGAACTTTAAAATGCAAGACATTACGTGCAGTACAAATATCTTACAGCAAAGGAAAAATGGCTCATTTTGCAAAAATTTAAAAGAATAGACATAGATTTAAAAAATCACACAATCCACAATTTAATATAATTTTGTTCGTTAACAAGAGTAGAGGACAATTTTTGATTTATAAGCCTTGTGTATCAAAGGGGTAATAAAATCTAGGCATTTAGAAATCTGAGTGAAAATGATCTCAACAAAAAATATTAATTCAGTCACAAACTTCCATACCCATAGCACAATTGTCCCGGAGCATTTTCACCCCTTAATCTTTCGGCACGTGTAGCCTCATCTAGGAAATGTAGGGGATGATGACTTCCGCCCCTTTCTTCTTTACTTGCATGTTTTGAGAATAAATAAAATACATACAACCAAAAAACCCAACCCAAACAATCAAACAAACAAACAAAAATACCAAACAAAAACCTCCTAACTCGTTACCTTGTAGTCTTCTACCCAGAGCATATTTTCATGGTTTCACTGTTTAACTGTCTTATACCCACCATTTCAAAGGCTGTCCTGAGTGTCACTCAATGCATTTGGTGTTGACAGAAAACACTTCCTTTTGCATAGTTTAAAATATATATATAAATAATCATGAACATATATGTATTCATAGTTTTATTTATAGTCTTATTAGTCAAAGCATATATTTAAGAATTAAGGCAAATAAAGTTGAACTATTTTGTCTTTCATCACAAACGCAAACTCTGTCTCCTCAGAGGCTAACATTTTCATGTGCTTAGAAAAGTTGATTGAATGGTTTTTTTATTAGAAAAAATAGAATATAAAACACACTTTAAAGTGAAAAAGTTCTATTTAATAACTATCATTCTGGAAGAAGGGAAGGGTGTTACTAAGCATGTTGGCAGGATAACCTAAATCTTTTTTCTTCTTTGAGAATTGTGGAAAATCACGGGGTCAGGCAGGGGACACTGCGGCTGCTGAGAGGGCAGAGTCCCCTGCAGAGGCCTGGGACACTGGCATCGGTGTTTCCGTTATGTGGTAGGCAGGGGCGCAGCGGTGGGATGCCCCAGGAAGCCTTCTGCCGCCTGCCAGTCAAGGGCACCTGTTTTGGATTCCTCCCTAAACCAGACCAGCTCAGGCCATGTGCCGGAATCATTTATGTGCTACATTTTGTCTCTCTTTAGAAACTGACAGTTTTAAATGCACCCTGCTAATTTCAGGAGATACCTATGCATAGCAGTTTGAGTGTCTGGACTGAGGGTTAGGAAGTTTGAGTCTGGGTGTCAGATCCACCAAGGTCCTGTTGTATAATTTTAGGCACATCAAAACTATCCTACTGCCAGGATCTAAATCTGTCCTGCGGAACTAGTAAGCTTCATTTGCGATTTGATCCTCAGAAGGTTCATAGAAACTTGTACATGTTTACAGTACAGAGTATTTAGATGCATTAGTGGAAAGGAAAGTTGAAAATCCCAATAAAATGAATAAAACCCCGTACAGTCTTAGGTTTTAGAAACGTTTTCCAAATATTGGTACCTTTTATCTGCGGTTTGGCGCAGAATTTCCCTCCAACTGCTGCACTCGAGTTGCGGCACATTTTCAGTGTGAAAGCAGGCAGAGAACACTCTAGGCCTACAAAGCAATCTCTGCGGGGGTTTTTAAGGTGTGCGGGGGCTTTAACAATGAATTACTAATTGTGTCAAGCATTTTCGGAGCAAGTCCGTTCTTATCTGAATTAACGTCTTAATGGGCTGTTTTTTAGCTGCCTTCGGGAGCGTGAGGAAAGGCACTGAGCTGAGGGGTCCCCTGAGTTGTGTGCGGGCTGTCACCGCCGAGCGGAGCTGGGTCACATCACCTGTGGGTCTCTTTCACCCTCACCGCGCTGCCATGCAGGGAATATCGCGAGAGGCGTCTGCAGCCATCCCTTTCGAAGGTCTGTTGATACAGGACCCGTTAGGACAGGGATGTGAAGACCCACTGACAGAAAGGCCGCGACCTGTGCTGCACAAATCGGGGGCCGTTCTTGTGGTGCTTTGAACAGTTCATGAGCATGGACAGAGCACATCCTAACCGCCGTACACTACATCAGAGTCCAAAGAGAGGGCAAAAATAACTGCTTTTGTCAAAAGTATACCAAGAATTTACAAAAGCGGCTTCTAACATGCATTAATGTGCTTTCATTCTTTTAAATGGAACATTTAAAAAGACTTTGAAGTGGAAAACAACATTTCCGACTACTACACGTCTCAGATGAAGAACTGAAGCCGTTGGAAAGAAAATGGATTTTAGAATCAGCTGAACTGTGTTCAAGTTCTGATTCAGTTACATACGATCCTGGGCAGCTAGGCCGTCCGAGGCTCAGTTTCTTGGTCTGTAAAATGCTACCTTGCACTCTGGAAAACTGCACCGGTTACAGGTAACACAGGTAAACTCTTCGGCACGTGGTAGGTACTCGGTGATAACAACAGGCAATGTTTTAAGAATAAAATGTGTTGTTTCCTAATGTCTTACTGATATGTTAATAATACCGAGCAAAACTCTCACAAGAGCTAGCTGAGACTGTCACCTGCTGTCTCATCCTGAATGACCAGCCTCCGCTCTCAATGATTATTTGATGAATGACTAAATGTCAGTGCAATAGATAGTTAGGCGAGGCAATTCTTACGACAGTACATGCATATGCAATGTACTACACAGCAGAGAAATATGGCATTAAAGACCTAATATTTAGCTCATCGGAAGAGTTATCTTACTTAGTAAATCAATCCATTTTCACAACAGCTGGACATCAAACCTATGTATGCTAATTAGCATTAAATTTTACTAGGTTTAATATTTTAAAAACTCTTACTGACCTAGATTTTTATAAGGCATATGCTTCCTACTAGCTTACACAAGATTGGTCACTTCTATATCATAGTAGACATTTATTCTTGTTCTTCTTAGCTATTTGTATGCTAATACATTTCTTACATTAATAAAATTTTAATGTGTGCTTTGACACCCCCAACACTAGCATTCCAGGTTGGATATTTTATAAAATACACAGAACAAGAAAATAAGTGACCAAGATAATATAAAGTAAGTTTAAATTTGACACTCTGAAGAAACAAGAAAATAAATAAATGTTGGTCTTTTCGACTACAGATGGGTTAAAATACATCCTTAATAAAATACATACACTTTGCAATATGATTTTAGACCTGAAATTAAGTAAACTGAGGTAAGAAATATTAAAACTATATAATACAATGAGACCAAAATGTCTCCTCAAAATGATTGAAAATGTGCTAAATAAATACGGTATATCTTGAAGCAGTCATGGACTTTATGTAACTTTAATCTTTTAAATATATAAGATTAAATTTCATTTGTGTGAAATAAACTAAAAAGGAATAATGTTTAGTGAAAAACTGGAAGTTCTTTATGGAGTAACCATTCTGTTAAACACATAAAAAAGAAAATTTCATGAGGTCCCTTAAACTAATCATTTCACATAGCTTTTAAACCTTATATTCTTTTTAACATGAAGGGGTCACTGGACAGTTCTTCATCAAATACTGACACCAAAACATAACACAGAACAAGTTGTGAAGGATGGCAGATGTAAGATGCAAAACTAGAAGAAAAATACTTTGATATTACTACAGCAACGGACACACAGATCATGCTTTTCCAGTATGGAGGGTGGTATAATATAGTCTATACATTATCTACACGACACCTTATTAGCTAAGGTTCCAGAAATTTTCTCATTTCCAGTAGCAATCTGTATTTTAAGCTCACTCTTTTCACATATGAATGATAATGTCTCTGTAGTTGTCTTTTATTTCTTCCCTGTCATTTCTCACAAATCTGAAATCGTTAGTGTTGGGTTTTGAATACTTTTTCTAATGTTTTCACAGTCAAATATGCTGACGTCTCAATGAACTGACCTCTGTAGTGCTTCAGTAAAGGTTTTATAACAATTTTGGAGGACTTTATTGCACACAGTTCTTTTTCTAATGTGTCTACTTTTAAATAAGCTTGTCTCCTTTCCCAATAGTGCACGACAGTTCACATTCAATTTGGGTTCAAACCTTAACGTCAATGGTAAAACTAGTGGCTTAGCTCTGTAAGAAAATTTAAAACATTTTCAAGATCAAAAATTCTGGAAATCAGGTTTTCAAGCCTTTTTTATTAGGAAACTTAAATTATTACTTTTTTGTGAAAAAGGAAGTGGCCAATATCCATTTTTGAATTTTCTCAAACAAAGAAGAATAAAAGATAGCGAACTAGGATAAGAAAACACATTAGAAGACAGCTTCCTATTTCATACAATTTCTATTTACCTTTTCCTATTCATTAACCTATTTCTGTTCAGCAGCAAGAAAAATAATATCCACTTGTCTTTGCCTTTTTGGATTTTTCAAGGTGAGTTTCATTTACCTGAATACAAACACAGCTAAGGAAATAGCTTTTGTATTGGCATAGACCAAGGACGTGTCTCGTAACCAGGAAACTCTGCCTTCTACGGCTTCTGTGGCAGTTTATAGTCCAATGGTTATTAAACCAAATGAGAGTGGAACAGTATTCAAAATGACACAGATTGACGAAAAATAACGGAAACACATGGACTCGCCTTAGCTGTTAATCTTTCCAAAAGACAAATTTTTAGCGTTCTGTAAATAAAATTATAAATACTAAAGAAATGAGAATGGGAAAGGGATCATTTCTTATCATAATAAATATTCTGGTACAAATTTTTTAAAAAAGTAGAAAAACTTAGTACCTTTGGGTACTTTTTTCTAATAAAACCATACCTGCTTCAGAACTTGTCTGATTATAGCTGCTAACAATGCTGTTTGGTTTCACTGGAGTGGAGGACGCGGAAAGTCTTGACTGAGGTGGGTTGGGATGTAAGGAGTTTCCTAACGCCATGCCCGACTGACTGAGCATCCCACAGCTCCCGCTAGCCTGAATCTGATTTATTAAACCTGCAAGATGGTGGTTGGGGCCCGGGCTGTTACTGTGAACAAAGTTAGCGTTTGCATTGTGGCAGTGCACGGCTTCCCTTCTTACAGGCGCGTTCTGTGTCAGTGAGTTCTGCAGAACACCGGAGTTCATACTGGGATCGGTAAAATGCAGCTGGTTAGCAGAGCAAGGCAAAGCAGTATTTGAGCCCCCGCAAGCTGGGGTACTATTGCTACTCAGGTGAGAGCTTTGACAACTCATAGACTGTAGTAATTGAGACATTGAGCTGATGGGAAAGGAATCCTGACTCTGCCTCCTTAGCAAGTCAGGTCCAGGTTTAGAAACCGCGGAACTCTCCATCTGAGACTGTCTGAGCAAACTCAGCACTGTGGTAGGTGGCTGTTTTCTTTTCCGTAATGAGTCTTTTTGCTGAGACATCAACTTATCTCTTAGTGCCGCTCGACCACTTTGCCCTTCACCTGCTGGAAGAAGCATGTTGGCAGTAGGAGGGAACATGGTGTTTAAAGTGCTATGTCCTTCAGTGTTACCACTGCCGGCAACAGCTCCGGAACCGCTACTGCTGCTGCTGTTGTTACCAGCAAGTTTGTTTTGATTTGCTAGCTGTGCTTTGGCTGCTGCTGAGAGTAAACTACTTGCTGGAAAGGAGGCAGCATTGTGCTGGTTCAAGATCTGATTTAAAGGCATTCCCAGCAAACCAGGCTGACCCTTTACCGAAGCACTTCCGGCAGATGCACTAGGGAAAGCTGTACTGCTTGGAGTATTTAGTACATTACTCATTCCAGCAATTAATGGGTTAGGGATGTCCTTGTACTGGTGATGTCCATCGGACTTGGTAGAAGGGCTTGATGGCATGGATGGCCTTGGGGACCCTATTGCTGACCTCGGGGACCTGGGTGGAACCTTCATACCACCGCAGGCGGCCTGGGGTCCTACAGGTGGCATCATGAAATTTCCATGATCTGATGACGTGGAAGATGAGCGTGATCTTTGGGGCGACGCCTCAATCCTTCCAATTCCAGTCCCCATCGTGTGCACTGGGGATGTCACTGGAGAAGGGGACAGGGAGGTTGAAGCTGAATGCTGAACTCTTTGTACATGACTCCCATGATTCATGTGACCAGGCTTTACAGTTGGCAAAGGGAGATTACTTGGCAAAGGAACGACAGCAGGAGGCATGCTTACATTCATCACAGGTACCTGAGAGTGGGCATTTGAGTGGAAACTGGTTGGATTCATGATAACGGGGTTCTGATTCACTGGTTTACTAGGAATAGGGTCAAGAATGCCAAGTGGATCTTTCTCAGATGGTAATGGCTTTTTCTGAAGAGCACAAGAAGGTGGAGGCGGGGGAGGTGGGCCTTGGGGTGGTTTGTGGTGGAACATTGCTCGTGGCATTTCCATATGAGCTGAAAAATTACACATTGGTTTTTTCATTACTGGACTCTTTGTAGTCAAGGTTGGGGAAAGAGGTATATTAGTTCTCCCAGCCATCGTACAGGATGACTGTAGAGGAGACCCATGTAGCATTACTGCGGGCGGAGAAAGAGGAGTCCTATTCAGGTGAATAGGGCTAGAATTGGGAGCTCCGTGAAAACCAGGATTATTTCTTGTGAAAACATCTGGGCTTCCAAGTGGGTCAGTCCTCGGAGAGATCGAACCATCTCCGTAAATCTGGGAACCTGATGACGCCGGGCTGGGGAGGCCTCCATGGCTGCCGCGGAATGGAGATTTCTGTCCGTGTTCGCTGCTGCCCAACCTCTGCCGGGGATAGACTGGGTGGAGTTCTTGTTGCTGGCTTCCAGGCAGTTCTTGTACATACAGTCTTCCCATAGCATTGGATGATCCAATCATCAACTTGAAAGGATTCTTCCATTCAGGCATTACAGAATTTGTAATTCCATCATGAGGCTTATTTCTTACTGATCTTGGAGTTGCTGCCCGTGAAGGTACTACTGGAGTTGCATCTGAGTGAGAGAGAAGAAGAATTCTGTTAGTAGTCTCGGTTCTTTTGTTTCCGCAGAGGTGGCAGAGGAGGAGGAAATCAGGAAGTGAGAGGAAAGAAGAGCATCTGGAATACAAATTTGCAATAAAATTATGATTCTATGCAGTTGAAGAAAGTTCTACAAGCTATGTTAAACTCTGTCTTGTAACACATACGTTACCCTCTCTTAGTTGACCAAAGGTTCTCAATAACTGTTCACCATGCTTGTTCGCTTACTATTTATTGAGCAAGCATGGGCGCCTAACTCATTCATAATGACACCGGTCAATCTAGCAATATTTAGAATATGCAAAATCAACACTGACAGCCTGCATGCAGAAAGGTGACATTACTATCTTACTGGACTTGAGGCTTTTGAGGACACATAGTTACAAAAGAATACTGTAATTTGTGTGGCATATTTTCTTCTGTGATGTAAATGAATTTCCATTTCCACAAGAAATTTTGTTACCCTATAAATGTTCCTGTTATTTTATTGAAACCTTCTAAAGACAGCTATAGCAATATGCCCTTATCCCAACATTTTCTCTATGAGATGAAAATTGAGTTTTTATGAATTAAGTGCAAAAATGGGATTCCAAATCTTGAAATGAGAATAATGCAAGTATAAATGCAATGATAGTGCACTTAGTTGCACATCATGTTTGTAACACTGTCACACCATAATTTCTTTGCTCTTAATTAGTCATTTTTATAGAAACAGCTTTTAGTCAACTAACTTAGGTAAAGCAGTTCAGTTCTTTTATTAGGCTAGAATTTTCATGTAAAATTTAGTCAGAGTGCTAAACCTTCAGTACTGGCTTCCGATTGAGTATTCTCTTTTTACATGAATGCATCTCTCCCTCTGACTTTTGGAGTCCCTTCAGTTCTTTTGGAGATCAGACAGAATACAGGCAACAAAAGCAAGCTGGATCATCACACAGAATTTTCACCCTATCATGTCAGAATTCTAGGATTAAGTTTTTTAGTCCCAAAGGATCCTTAACTATTTTATGAAGTTGTGCCTTCTAAACCAGAGATGGCAAATACAACTTGTTTCATATGCCAATTCCCATCAATTTGTGGTGGTCCCTTAGAGTGTTGTGCTGAAAAGAATGCTAAGCTCTAGCTGGGCTCCACAAGAAAATGTCAATGAGTCCACTAAGGCGTAGGAGATGAAAGTGGTAGTATTTATTCTATGTTCGCCATGCCTATTTTGAGACTCAAAGCATATTAGTAAGCATTCTTAATTTGCAATCACAGGTATATTTACTTAAAAGAATAGTTATACATTTCAGATATACTTTTACTTGCTACATAGTATACAGGTCAAATAAAATAATTTCTAGGAGTGTCTTTTATAACCTAGGGCACACGGGAGTCTAAGAGGGGTGTACTGCAGTAGTAAGAGAAAACAGTGAACATGTTTCCCTTGGGAAATAAGAACTTTCTGATGCTAGCATAGTAGAAGTTCTTTCATAGAGTTATTTTGGGATATAATATATGAAATACTGAAAATCAACAACAGAAAGCAGTAGACAAACTCAACCGAAGCTTAATTTTTTGCTAGAGAGATTTTTAAAGTTTGTAGTTCAGAAAGCAATGTATGAAACATAGGTAGGGCACTGTGCCTGGCACAGAGCGAGAACACCGTATGTAGTACCATCCCTAGCATTATTATGGGATTGACTGTTTAATGAAAAGAGCCGCCTCGCTGCACCTTTTCTTAGATATTAATGTGTCTTTATAGTTATCTGCAGTTCAGTGATTAAAAACACAGTGGCATTTTTATATTCAACTAACAGAATTGAGATAAGAACTGTGATTTAGAAAGGATTTCTTCCATACCTGGGAAAAACAGTCATACGAAAAACAACAGGAATTCAGTACCCAACAAACAAAGGTCAGGGCAGTGTTACGTGACAAGAACCAAGGCACGTAAGCGGCAAGTGCACGTGCGAGGTGTCCATCGGGCACTTTCATGTACATTCAAGTAAACGTCTCAAGGGAGAAATCCAAACAAAACAGATAGTCATATATTTACGTAAAAAGGGGTGAAAACTACGTGAGTCTGAATTTTTAATGATTGAAACCATGACTTTAGGATAACATAGTTGAAAGTTAGGGACAGATGCTGTGCCTGAAGACAAAGAAGAGTGCAAGTGACAACCAAGTGCACCATGTACACAGGGGTGGAGCTGTGCCCAGGGCTGCTGCAGTAGTCACACGGTTATCTTTAGCCCGGCACGGAGGTGCACACTTGCAAATCCCACACTCCTCGAGGCTGCTGCCAGAGAACGCAGGTTCGAGTCCCGCCTAAGCAGCTTAGCAAGATCCTGCTTCCTAAAAAAGCACAACAAGATAAAATAATTTCAATGACTAAATGGTATGTGTAGGTATGACAAAGGATGTAGAACCTTCCACTCAAGTTTCCACATCACTGCCTAATTATACTGCCCTCATTCTAAATAAGATCCTCTTATTTAGAAACAAAAAGTTATATGAAACCATAATAAATTTGAATAATATTTTCTCAAGGTTTTAAATTTTAGGAAAGCCAGCCAGGCATGGTGGTGCATATTTGTGATCCTGGCACTTGGGAGGCTGAAGCAGAAGAATTTCCATGAATTCAAAACCAGCCTGGGCTACATAGTTAGTTCAAGGCCAGCCTGAGGCCTTGAACATAAGCAAGACCCTGTCTCAAAAAAAAAAAAAGTAAGTAAGTACTCGTTACATGAAGACCCTGGGAGGGTGTTTAAAAAGGCAACAAAGCAAACTTTGTAGAAACAGGTAAAATTTTGATAAAATGTGATGTGAGATCAGCAGCAGATAAAAGTCAGAACAAACACACGTGTAAAGGAATGTACAAAAAGGAAACTATCGCTGCATTATGCTGGCAGGATAGTGTACAGTTTAAAGAATTTATTACTATCAAATAAGTCTTTCCATTGTTGTAGGAGGGAGGGTTTCACTATGGAGCCCAGGCTGGCCTCACACTCATGGCAACCTTCCCGTCTCAGCCTCCTGACTGCTGGGAACACAGGTGTGCACCATCATGTCTGATTGTTGTATCTTTTAATTTAAGAAGCTGCACCTTATTAGAAGTTCAGTTACTGGAAAGTAGCTCTGTGCTAACAGCTGCCACATCTGTGCCTCCTTACCATCTTTGCACGAGTTCTACGTGTGAGCCTTTAGTTACCTGTGTCATGTAGAATCTCTTCTTTGCATCCAAAGACTCTGGATGGTCTGGCCATAATGTGCTTAACCTACTGAACCTTCCACTCAAGTTTCCACATCACTGCCTAATTATACTGCCCTCATTCTGAGAAATACTTTTACTGTTCTTCTCATATGACTAACTTCTACTTTTTCCATGGCTGGCCCAAATGTGAATCCTGCCATAAAACCTCTCACCACTGCAGGTTCCACTCACCACCCTGTTTCCCGAACTCTGCAGATATGAACAGAACGAACTGTTCCTTATCAGCAAATACTTTGGTGCTCAGCCACGTTGTATTCTGAATTATGGTTCAAGTACAAAGAGATTGTAATATTTTGGACAGCATCCATATTCCAGCCCTTCACAAAAAGAAGAGAGCTCCTCAGTGCCAAAGGTTAATTCTAAAGTACACATTAATCATAAAAGGCTACTTCGTTAGGTACCTTAACAATGAAAAAATTCTAATGAGGATATTACACCTCTTATGAAGAATGCTGACCAAAGTGTGTTTATTCTAACAATTGTGAGGAACCAATTAGGCAAATCCAAATAAGGAACACCCTGGAACATTGGTCAGAAGTCTTCAAAAAGCTAAATGTCATGAAAGACTGAAAAAAAAAAATGGGGAATTGATGTAAATTAAATGTAACAGCTAACTGCAATGCACAATCTTTGCATCTTGGATTTAAAGAAAATGGAATTTTTAAAGAAGTTAAAAGAGACATTAGGGCAGTTGGAAGAAACTGAAATATAGACTGCATATCAGATAACAGTACTATATCAGTGTTAAATTTCCTAATGTGATCATTAGACTGGGGTTACGTAGGTGAATGTCCTTGTGCGCTAAAGTATTTAGCAGTGAATTGTGAAAAATATCAGCAGCTTTCTGTAGAAAAATGTTCAATAGCGAATTAAAATGAAGACTGTATGTATACTTAGTGAACTGTCCCTGTACTTTTCCTGCTGCTTTGAAATATTATTAAAAAGAATGTGTGTGTGTGTGTGTGTGTCTGTGTGTGAGAGAGAGTCAACATATAAAGTTCTTGGCAAGGAGATTGCTAGTAGGTGTTCAAAAAGTACTCGTTACATGAATGAGAGAATAACAATGCTAATTCTTAACACTCCTAAGTTACGTTTGGGGACTGATAACATACATTTCAATATAGCCGTAGGAAGGCTGCTACAGTTGTTTCCTAAAAGCCACTGGTGCTTTTTCTTTCATTAACTCAGTTCTATACATCTACATAGCACTTGTATGTGCTAAGTTTTGTTTGTTCTGATTGTATAACTAGATGGTCTGCATACGAAGTTCTGGGCAATAACCTCATGAGAATTTTGCAAAATCAATCTGCTATTTGTAACAAAATGATAGGCTATATAAAATCTTAAAAGTACTGTGTGCACATTTGAAAAGTGGAATGGGAAAATAATTGGCTAAGTCAATTCCAGCAGCTGCTTCTCTTAGAAGGGGGAAGAGCAGCCCCAACCCCTGAGCCAGGTTACATACTTGTTCCCCCTCCAGGGCTGGTGAGCAGCAGAGAAGGATGTGGAGCTTCCATGCTTTTATGAAGTGTGGCCACTGCGATGATTTTTCTTTTATGTATGCATAGTTTTGTGACATCTTCATCTGCCTTGACATCTTCTGCAGTTCTCTGTTTCACAGCTGCTCCAGGATCAAAATTAAATACCTGCAAAAAGCGCAGCCTTTGTTTAGATAGAATACGTCTATACCAACATTTGATAAAAGGATCCTCTTATTTAGAAACAAAAACAGTTATATGAAACCATAATAAATTTGAATAATATTTTCTCAAGGTTTTAAATTTTAGGAAAGCCAGCCAGGCATGGTGGTGCATGTTTGTGATCCTGGCACTTGGGAGGCTGAAGCAGAAGAATTTCCATGAATTCAAAACCAGCCTGGGCTACATAGTTAGTTCAAGGCCAGCCTGAGGCCTTGAACATAAGCAAGACCCTGTTTCAAAAAAAAAAAAAAAAAAAATCTGAGCCATGAAATCAAAGAAAGCAACTTTATATAACTTAATAAGCGTGGCTGAACTCATGGTTTTATTAGCAAAATAATAAAAATTATGCTAATTCTAAGATAGCCAAAATACATACATGGAGAGCGGTATGTCTGATAAAGTTTCCAATTATCGATGCTTCACATTATAACAGTATAAAAAAGATGAAGTTCAATTACAGAAACAAAAGAAAAGCCATGGCATTTCTACAGGCTTTTTCCTTGGTTCCCCTTTTATTTCTATATTAATATATTTTCACTAATTTAAAAAATCTATTACTCTTTTTAAAAGATATTACTTACATAAATATTTTAAGATGTAGTGACATACAAAGAAAGAAGTATTAATACTTAGTTTTAAAATCAGCACTATAACACATATTCAAAGAGTAATGATCTATTTCTACAGCAAATTATATTTTACTACTATATATGATTTCGTTTGTTACCTTGTAAAGGCGTAAAACAGCTACCTATTTGAGCTGTGAATGTCCAGCTTTATGATTTCAGGAATCCTGTATCCCTGATAGGTTTATCAACACTCATGCTAACGGTAACATCGCTGATCTGAAGAGCTACAGCACTGAAATAAAATACTGCAGTACAAAGTACTAAGACAGGTACAGCTCCAATAAAAGCTGCGGTGGCAGTTCCGATGACGGATTTAATATGAATACAGGTTTATCACCTTTGAAATGGTTTGAATTATTTCTCAACCTTTAAGCATTCCAAAATGCATGAAAAAGATGTCTAAATGAATACGACTGGAGAACTAATGTTAGATGAAATGCCAAATGAGAAAACTGAATATACAAAATGCCTTAAAATAAAATAAAAAACCCCTGCTGTTCTTCCCCTGGGAAACCGTTACCTTGGGAAGAATCAGAGGACACTCCAAGCCGCACTTGCACGTTCCGTCAGTAAGCAGGTAGGTTTTAACCTGCTCCAAGCAAGATAACAAAGACCCACTGGGACTGTAAAAACAGTTTCAAAAAATCAGGAAATAATTTTGACTGCATATAAATACGAAAAAATGCGTAATTTATAGTCTGGACATCCTTCAGAGGATAATATTTCCCCACTAGTGAAAAACATTTTCTTTATCAATATTATGTTAGCTACTAAATTATAGCCTTTAACACTGTCATTCTTTCCTTTGAACCAAAATATTTCTAAGAGAAATACAGATCTTCATAGAAAATCATGCAAAAGTATTCTGAAAACCAAGAGTGGACTAAAGATGGGAAAATACTATTCTTGGAAAAGGACAGAGACAGGCAAGAAACAAGGAACACAAAAAAGTGCTAAAAGTAATCATCATTTTAAACTACAAGATTTGCTTTTAAAGCTCTCTGAGAAAAAGCTGAAACTGAGAAACACATTGTGGTTCCAATCAGAAATTTGGACTTGACAAGCTCATCCTTGTTTACCTTGCAGTCTAAAATGAAGTTGTCCCTATGTAAAAACAGGTTTCTTTCTCCCGCACACTGGTGTGTTTCCTTGAAGACGCATTGGCATGACCCAAATAAAATTTTGCTAAAAAGCCACACCATACATAGAAGGGAGAAGAATCAAGCGGAACTGACAAAAGGTGGGAAAGTTCTGAGGAAATAGACTGTCAGTTGGCCAAAAAGTACCTTGCGGTTCTCTTGGCTGGTAAGTAGGCAGGTGCGTTACTACTCTTCTTGTCATAAGAATCAGTAAAATATGAGAATATTGATCAATTTCACATCTGTGGGTTTTGTAGTATTACATCACATGATAGCATGAGTCTGATTTTTACTTACAATGGGATTTAACTTAAAACAAGTAATTACTTTTTTAGGACTTTTATTATTAACGTCGATTTTACAGCTTTACTGTGTATATCATGCTTTGAAACTTTATATACTTTCCATCTGAGAATGCCTTTAATAACTGTTTAGCAAAAGCTGAATGTAAGCATTCTGATCAGAATTATCCAGAAACAATCATACTCTCCATTTCATACACAGAAGCATTATACTATCAGATATAAACAACTCTCCCTCTACAAAAACGTAGATACCTACAAGTGAACTAGCTTTAAAATGCAATTTATATTTTGTTTTATGGACATTCATATAAGAAACTTGGAAAAAATAAAAGAAACTTGGGCATAAAGAAAAATTTAAAAGAAAATCCTTAACTAGGTTAAATTATTTATTTGGGCTATGTTTTATAGATGATATGCACAGAATAGTAATTCCCATGTTACAAAATGGAGTTCTACCACAGTAGGGAAGATATTTTGTAGGTCTGGTAATTTTTGTGTTTTTTTTCTAATGATCAGAAAGCACTTTACTAGATTTTCACATGAAGAATTAGTGAATTTGGTAAAAAGAGACTGTCCAACATTTTGCTAAAAATACATACCCTGAATCTAAAGAAATTTAACTTTAAAATTAAATCTGAAGGGAAAGATTCCTAAATGCTATTAGTGGATCCCATGCACTTTACAAACATTTCTTCTCAATCAGTTGTGGTCTTTTGTTCAGTGGTAGCTCTTTAATTAGCTTCTGAGAGTAATAATTACTATAAAAGTAGTTACAAGTCTTATGGCATAGGTAAAGCTTAGAAGACTGGAAGCAGGTAGAAAACTTAATGTATAGTTTCAACAGCACCATGAGGTAGAAGCAGCCGGAGACTAACCTAAAAATCACAAGCAAACTGTACACTGAGAAAAGAGGTACAGAAAATGGGCTGGTTTCCCACATACATTTAAGTAGTAATTTAATCAGTGATATACAAACAAATCAAACCCATGTTGGCCTGATTTAATTTAAAAGCGTTTTACCTTATCTGGGAAAGTTAGTTTCCATAATAATTCTCTGTGTACAGATTTGGATTTCAAGAACCCATACTAATAGGATAATCAGATAGTAGTACTTTGTCAGACTTGGGAAATTATGAACAATATCACTGACAGAATCTTAGACTTGAAGTTGGTTTTTTTTTTTTAAGTTGGTTTTTAATTCCAGACTTAACTTAGTTTGTCCCAGCCACATGAAAAGCTGATTTATCTTTTCTAAGGATGGAGATGAAGTTAAAAAATAAAAGGATCAAGATTTGAGAGTCATTTGCTCCCAGCTGGATATGTTTTCTCTTCAAAACTAGAACAATCACAAATATAAACACACATTGCCAATATCTTGTGGTACTTTATTTATAACAAAGTATTTCTGGCAGTTCGTTAAACACGTCGGTAACAGAAACGCTCTGGGAAAGTTATCCCAAGTGTTCTTGTCTGTCTTATCCATTATGGGATGAGCTCTACATTCCTTGCTTTCTTATCCCTTCACTCCAATTAATACAGCACGCAAGGAAATAGACTAAAACCTGCAGAAAAGTAAGGAATTGTTTTTAGCTAATATCAAGCCTTAAAAAGTCTAATAATTAAAACTGCCTATAGATGAAAACATAACCTTAGAATCAGAAAAGCTAGCTGAAGTCTCTGAAAGGCACAGTAATACTGTCAAAAGCTAATGGGTTTATATACAGAATTTTACATTCTTCTGTGAATGTAGTAATAATGCTTAATTCTCTCTGGTATTCTAAAGCAATTCACATTGCAAAACAGTGCGGAATGAAAATACTTGTGCTTCTAGCACAGAAGCCATTTATTCAAATACATTTGAGGTGCTGTCAGACACAATATTTCGTTCTCTCAAAGAGGAACAGACTCTAACCTCCTTAATCTTGGTACTGCAACTTTGGAGGTAACACAGGAATTACATAAGAGCTCACCTGACGTACAGAACTCCATTTTGATCCACGCGGCGCTGCCAACCCACAGGAACTTGAATAGCTGGAAGAGCTCCTTCCTTCTCCCCTCCGTCACACTCCTTGCCTCCATTCATTTTCTGTGTCTGCTTGGGACTCTCCAAAGATATCAGCAATAAGATGATATCCTCATATTACACAGCATGATGGCCTTCAGAAATGGGCCAGTGCAGCACAGTTTTTCCTAGACTGTACAGAACGCATTGGGAAGCTACGGCTCAGTTTGAAACCAAGTCCTTGAAATCTGCCATGATGAAAATATCAGTTTCCCATTATCATTTATATTAAATAACCAATATTGAATTCCTGGGGATGGTCTACATGTGTAAAAATGAGTGATTCCAACCGAGCAAAATCATAATTCACCAATGTTAGTACCTGTCTCAAATAGGGGAGGGAGGATTGTAAAGTTTTTAGTTGTACATTTTGTCTTGAACCTTGATGTTGGACTAAAATAACCTCCACTGCTTAGAAACCGGTCTCATTTTTACAGTGTGTCAGTTAATATTTCCAGGTACCACCCGCCTTTATAGGCCACATTCTTTAAAATTTCTCTTTATCTTCCAATCTGAATCCAAGGTGTTGCAGGTTGGTTCATTTGATGTTTTCATGACTTCAAAACTCCAATAATACCCTGAAACATATGTAAATATGTAAACAGTATATTTAATGTTGCAAACTAAGAAGTCTCATGATGTTAACATAGAATAATTAGGTATATCCGACCACACTGATGTCCTCTGCCACCAAAATCACACGTAAACTTGTTTTCTTTTCCCAAACTATTTACTCTACTCAAACCAATGTACTTGATCTTCACCACATGAAATTTTGTTTTTATTACTAGAGATAGACCAATAAGCATGGCATTATGCACACACACACACACACACACACACACAGGCACACACTCTAACCTGAAATAAAAATATAGCCATTATTTCCTGCGACTTGTGAAGAAAAAAACCTGTAAATTCAATCACATTTTGATCACTACTTAATACTAGATACACCAACAATTCAGTTTTCGTTGATAATCATTACATTGGCCTAAAGACGGTACAGTTTCTCCTTGTTACTTTTTAAAAGAAAAAGTTGCAGGAAACAAATTTATAGCACATCGTCAAATGTAAGACAGTTTTCTCTCTGTTACTGAATATAAGAGGGGGAGTTACTTTAGAGTTAAGATTTTACAAAATCCCGTATATCGCGGGTTATTTCCCCAATTCCTTTACTAAGTCACAAAGTGGAGAAGACACCGTAGCTTGACACAATAGGGCTAGCGTGGGATAATTATAGAAGTCATCTTAATGGGGCTGTTAAGAAAACGACAGGACAAATTTTAAAAGACTTACTATATCATATTGTGGAAAGTGTGATGTCACAGTTGGTGGTATCATTTATTGTTGTAAACAAGCTTTTTAATAATCAATTTAGTACCTACTATGTAATCACACTGTTGGACTCATACAACTACACTAAAGAGAGAGTAAAAAATCAGCATTGTGTTACCTGAGAGAAGCCCTTGCGGTTCGCTCACAGTTCCTAGTGAGCATTGTCCACAGAGTGAACAATCGCTCTGGCCTAAACCGCCAAGACAGAAGCACGGATGCCAGGCTGTTCAGTGCAACTCTGTACAAAGAACTTAAGATTCACACGCTGTTCTTAAAATTTAAATGAAAAATTAACGTATTTCTTAGATAATGTGTTGTAAGTACACCTGTATAAATAAATTAATCAGTACAGAACACACTCACGCTTCTTATCCTACATTCCTGAAAGTCCATATTTAAGCGGCCTGACACCTCCTTTGGGTCTTTTCATTAGGAAAACAGGAGATTGTTTTATGGCGAAGGCCACCATGTATGCAAGCATGTGCCTGAAGGCCAGACGTATGTCATAAAGCGTGTGCTTGTTTAGATGAAAACCAGGGGCTGGTTTATGGGTGTAGAAAACGCTGGCAGGCCATAGAAAAAGGAGCAAAAATGTAGCGGGGAAAATTCAGGGTATAAAGAACAGTACCAAGTAGCAACACTCCCAATGGGTCTCATGCTGGTGATTGGCATCGTTGGGTCCACTTCCCTATGCTACGCTCGTTACAGAAGTGACCCACTTACAGACCTAACAGTCTATTTCTGTCTTCATTCACTGCACCTCTGATCGTGAGTTTCACTGTTCATGTGTGTGTTTACCCACATTTCACTCAACACTGATAGAGCAGTAACTATGCATTTGGTACTGTACTAGGTACCAGGAGTACAAATATATATGGTAAATGCTATGGCATGAATGTTTAGTCTTCTCAGAATTCATAAGTTGAAATTCTAAGTGCTAGGATAATGGTATTAGCAGGCCTCTCTGGAAGGTAACTGCAGGGATGGAGCCCTCATGACTGAACTAGTGCGATCTACTTAGTGAGACCTTATCTCAAGTAAGAAATAAAAAAGGGGTGGGGACATAGCTCAGTGCGAAAGCCCTGGGTTCAGTCCCCAGTACTGAAAAAAGGGGGTGGGGACAGTGAGAGAGACCTCGTCCACTATATGACGTTACACTGAAGAGACAAGCCATCTGTGATCTACAGAGCTACCTCTCACTGGATAACCCGTTCGCTGCTTCCATGATTTTGGACTCCTCAGCCTCCCGAATTGTGAGATACAGATTTCTGTTGTTTACAAGCCACCTGGTTTATGGTGTTTTGTCATAGTGGCCTGACTAGAGTAAGGCAGCTTATGCTAAGTGGAAATTTCCTCTTTGTCCAAAATTCAGTGTAATGTCTGGTACTATACGCTGCATACTATGGCAGTCTGAAGATGAAAATAAAATTGAATTGCAGCTTCACTGCTGAAACAACCACTGCAAATATTAACATTCTTTCCATCATTTTTTAGAAGTTCTGAGGAACACATAAAAGTGAGTTTAATATAATAAATATGCATCACCACTCTAAATTAGTTTATCACTTCTGCTTTTTCTTTAAATAAAAAACTCAGAAAAAATTACACACGAAGTTAAGCACTGCCTCCAAACCCCACCTCATTTCCCTTTTCAGGCCCATTCCCCCCTTTTCCCAAAAGCAACCATCATGATTCTGGTTTGTACCCTCCAGTCATGTGTTTATGTTTACTTTCTGTTTATGCATATGTGTTATATTTGTGTTGTTATATGTCTTAAAATTTTATGTAAATACTGTTATACAATATACATATGATTCTGCTACTTGCTTTTTACAATTTAACACTGTTTTCAAAGCTGTCTCAATTGAGATATACAGATCTCCGTTGCAGATATATAGGTTCGTTAGCCTTTCACATCTGAGTGGTATTCTATTAGGTGATGACGTAACTTCCCATCCACTGGTATACAGTAATGCTGAGTTGGAGAGTCTGTACATTTTCAACTCCACAGGCACCCACCCTCCTTACATGGCTCTGCCAAACCTCAAAAAAACCAGGTTATAACAAAAAGATATGGTGACGTTAAGGCCATCTCCACCTCACTAACACTTGGGATACAGGATATATTATACTTAGGATTTCATTTATATTTATTTCAAAACAATAATAATAGTGAAAATTAAAAAGTGTGTTGTTTTCCTGTGTCTGTGCATGTGCTGAGATATCTTCCACAATTCCAGCAATGTTTTCGTTTTTCCTTTCAGTATGAAGATCAGTTTCTGAAAATTGCTTTTAGTGATTTTCTTTTCTTTCTTTCTTTCTTTTTTTTTTTTTTGCGTTGGCATCTTCCAACCATTCTGAATTCAAATTAGATGTTACTTCCTCAAGCAAATGACAGTGTAAACTGAAATGTAAATTCCCTTACATTTTGTTAATTCACGAATACCTCTTATTTTATGATTGCTATTATTGCTTTACGTACTTATTTATTTATTGACTATATTTCCCCATAGGAATGTAAACATTCTCAGAGCAGAGACCTTGTATTTTGGGGTCCTTCCTCTATCTCCAGCTCCTGATGTGGAGCATGGTGCTTTAACTCCTTCCTGAAGATTGTGTATATTCTAATGAGTCAACATACTTTTATATTTTGATTTTTATCATGTAGGCCTACAAAACTGTAGCAACACATGTGTTCTAAAATGAGAAAGGTTTCTTGAAAGAACCCAATGAATATGCATGTTGATAAATATAAAAAGGACCTTTTACACGAGATTTGTCCTTACTGATCTCAGAATTTCTGAGTGATAATTTCTGTGTAGAAAAAAAATCATAGGACTTCTAAGAAAATGAATAGGCTAATCTTAAATTCTATTTATAAACTATCAGAATTTTATAAGTGGTTCATACACATATTTAATTGAATTAATAAAGGAACCTCTAAAATAAATAAATGTAATAATATAAAAATTAAACTTATATTTCAACAGTATGCTAATTAATACAATACATTTTTTTCTCAATCTGATTTACTGACATAGTTTATGCAATATTAAGTATGTATTTTAAAAGTTATACCCCAAACACCACAAATATGAAATGTTAGAGAACATGACATCCTAAAAATAACTAAATAGCTATTCTTCATAAATCTTTCTGAATAATATTAAATGTCAGCAATTCTTCGAATAATGTTAAACAAACTTAATTAATACTAAAAATAATGAATTGACTTTTGAGCAGTGATATTGGCTTTTTTGGAGACAGGGCCTTGCTGTGTAGTTCAGGCTGGCCTTGAACTTGTGGTGATCCTCCCTCCTGCTTTAGCCTCCTGAGGGATGGGATTACAGGCGTGCACCACTCTGCTTGGCCTATTAATGGTTTTTGAGTGATAAATTCTATTAAAAATGTTCAGAACGACATAACACACCGCTGTTGTGTCAGTGAGGATACCAGAATACACAGTGGGGCAGAATTAACATTCAAAGAATTATTCATTTGTTAAGATTCATTTGTTAAGGTGTCAATTAAGTAAAAGATCCAATAAGACTCAGTAATTACCCTCCACTTATTTACCCTAACTACCCCCAGCATAACTGTATTTGTTTAATAGGGTGGTATCAGGACTTCTTCAATAAACACATCCTTCTGTACTGACACCTAAAGTTCTCTAGCTCCAGATGTTCTTGCCCTTTTGATGCAGAAGAGTGTAAAAGTTCACAACCAGTGAATGTGGGATTGTGTTAATGTAGAAAGGCTGAATTTTCACGGACTCTGAAGGTATAGAAACAGGCTCCAAGAACGAGGTCCATTCTTAGAGTCAAAGTAACGAACAGCTTGTTGCTGTCCCTCTGTGGTCATGAAGATTACTTGTAATCTGGCCATTTTTGCTGTGCAAGTTCATCACCTTACACATTCTAGTCATACAGAAGTCTTCAGAGAACTAAGTGCTGAGTGCAGCAGCCTGCAAGTGACCATGTTTTTCAGTTCCTTGCATTAGTAGGTAAGATTTATTATCCTTTCCAATTTCAGCTGGCCTCGTAGTTTGTTTTGATCAGTGGAATATGATGGACTTGATACTGCTGGAGTTTTCAGCCTAAACCTCAATAGGACTTGCATCTTCCACTCTTGTTCTGTGGAATACCACTGTCCTGTAAACAAGCTAAACAGGATCCTTTGATGATCAGGCACTACATGGACAGAGGGACAAGTCCAGCTGTCCAGCCAGGTCAGCTGAGGTCCCGGACATGACATGAGGCCAGTGACACAAGGTGGAGTAGGGATGAGCCGTCCCAGCTGAACAGACACACCTGCCAACCTCCAGAATGTTATTTAAATCACCAAACATTACACTGGAAATGATGTGAAAGACGGAAATAGAAGTTAACTTTAAATATAACATTGAGAGGCTATGTAGCATTTGCTGGTTCGGAGTGCAAGCTCTGGAGTCAGACTTTCTGAATTTGAACATTGGGACTAGAATGTGTAAGCTTATGTATATGTGCCTAGGACATAGTAAGTATCTAAATTATTACCGATAGGTAACCATGAAAATCATATTATAGAAAGTCTAATGGCAGTGAGAAAGAACCATGATAATTTTAGTTGGATAAAAGGTGAATAGGCAATATTAACTTAATTTACAAAAATGCTGCCATTTATGTCACTATAGGAATAGAAGAGCACTCCCAGGTATTACTATATGTTCCCAGGTATTATTATATGTTCTTTGGTAGTAGGAATATACTTCCTTCCTTGCTTTTCTGCATTTTCAAAGTTTTCTACAATGAATATGCATTAGTTCTATAATCAGGAAAAGTAGTATTTCTAAAAACTTAGAAATATTTTATATGTAGTACTTTATAATAGAAAAACTTATTAATGTCTCCTTGATCTGTAAATACATTAGGGAAACTTTTTATCGGAAAAACCATTAACTTTTGTGTTTAGTATTCTGCTGTTTGTTTTACCCAAGATGTAGAGTCACAAGGACATATTAACCTGGATGCTCCAAATACTAGAAAGAAAACCTAGCTGTCCCTCTGATTGGTTCTAAAATGCCTCTGGGCGTCACTCCCTTTTTGCCTGGAATGCCATTTTCCATCGCTACCTTCTTGTTTTTCATTAAGTGAGTTCTTATTTAATTCAGTTTAAGTGCCACTTTTTTAGAGAGGCCCTCCCTCACTTCTCCAATTTTTATTTGACTTTCGAAGTCTAAGCTGCGTTCCCATTGGAACTTCCTAAATTAGGAAGTTCTTTTCCTTCACAAAAATAACTCATACTTAACTGAGCTTTCTTTTTGCCCTTGCCATCTGTAGTGGACTGACAACTGGTGGTCAAGTTATAACCCCCAGCTGAACTGAGTAAGCGCGGTGCTGGGTGTGTGAGGCCCACCTGGGGACTGTTTCCAGCAGCATAAGAGGCAGAACTGGAGAAGAAGGAAGAAGGCTGCTGGGAGCTGAGAAAGGCTGTTGAAGCTGGTGGAAGCTACAAAGAGCTGTTGGTTTTGTGGAGGAGCTCGTCACGCTGACTTTCCTGATGAACTTGGCTGTTTTCATCCTCCGAGGAGCTCAGGATCTTGTTGGCATTGAGAATGGCTTTGGTTCACTTTGGGGGAGTTCTGGTCCTCACTTTAGCTTCGCTTCCTGGCTCCAGGGGGGAAGATGGTGCACCGCTTAGTCTCCTGGAGAAGCTTGCTGCGTTGGCTTCCCTGATGGGAACTCAGCTGTCTTCACCATCGGAGGACTTGGGACCTCACTGTTGCTGAGGATGGCTGTGGTACTTTTCAGGGGAGCTCTGGTTCTTTGTGCATTACTTTCCCACTCCAGTGCAGATCCCTCGGCCTGCTAGCACAGATCCTTCATCCCACTGGCGCAGACTTCCTAGATTCTACCACTGACCTTTGGGCCTTTGCAGCACAGATCTGTGAAACAGGCCTGCATGAGATATTGTCATGGGCTCTGAGCCTCCAGCTGGACTCATGGGTGAAAATGTTATGAGCTCTAGGTCTTCAGCTGGACTCATGCAGGACAGTTCCATAGGACCCAGGCCCTTGGCTGGATTCCTTGGTCTGGTGTGTGGACAGATTTCCTGCATTCTCTTGTATATCATTCTTTGGGTGACTGTTATAAATACCCTTATAAAATATGTGTCCTGTATTATATTATTCCCCTTGCAAAAGCAGCCCCAAATCACGACACCAGCCTACCTGAGTGACAAACAAGATAGAACTGGAAAGGATTTCTCTGTAGTTTAAGGGCCAAAAGTGAACAATGATCAGCTCACAAACACATACTCTTAAAAAGTACTTAGAGTACTATTTTGAATAATAGGCTACCCCAGGAATCTATAAAATAATTGACAAACTCACTATAATTCTGAAGGAAAATTTTTTAATGTATTTCTGCATATTAGCTCCAGCATAGTTTTTCTGCTTTTCTATAGTATAATGATTCTCATGGGGGGAATTTTGATTAAAAATACTCACCTGCAATTATATAATCTTTTAAAGTGTGAATTAAGCAAATTTAAGGGGCAGTTTTCATATTTTATTCTTGCATTATTGATATTTTGGCTATTTAACATGCCGCTTAGCATGAGCACATCAAATCACTCTTGAAAATTGATAGACATCAATATTGATTCCCCCCCAAAGTGTACTGAGAATAAAATAATTGTGTATTATTCTGCTTGTAATACTTTAAAGTAACTAAGCTTTACAGTACTTTATAGCAGTGCCTAGCTGTTCCACTCCTGACAGTGGGTGGTGGTCCCCACTAGGAGTAATCAGTACCACATGGAACGTGCCCCCAACCTTGAAAATCAGGTTACTATTTAAACAGTATTTATTTTTAAATGGGCAGATAAATATTATATGCTTTTATTGGTACAGCATATTTTGAAGTATATTTACATTGCAGAATGATACCCTTTCAAAAACACATCATCAACGGTAAGTACTTTACTGTACAATTGAGCTCTTGAAGTCTATCCCTTCTAGGTAACTAAGCACATATCCTTTGGAGAAACGTTTTTTTCTGTAGGCACGCTAGCCCTTGGCAACCACCATTATACTTCTTACTTCTATAGAACCAATCAGCCTTTCCAGACTCCACGCGTGAGTGAGACCACACGTGAGTGAGACCACACAGTATTTATCTTTCTACCAGCATGTCATTTAACACAGCGTCCTCCAGGTCTCATCCATGCTATTGCAAATGGCAGATTATCACTCATTTTACTGGCTGAGCAAACCACATTTTCTTTATACTTTATCCGCTGACAGAGACTTATGTCATTTCCCTATCATGGCTATTGTGAATAGCGCTAGAATAAATATGGGAATGTAGATATCTCTTTAATATACTGATTTCATTTCTTTTGATGTATACCCAATACAGACTGGTGGGTTATAGGGAAATTTCACTGCTGGATTTTTGAGGAACCTTCATACTACTTTCCATAGTGGCTGTGCCAATTTACATTCCCATCAGCAGTGGAATGCTGTCTATTCTCCACTTCTGAGTCAGGACTTGTTTCTTTTGTCTTTGGATAATAGCCATGCTTTTAAATGGGGTGAGATGATATTTCGTGGTCTTGGTTTCCACTCTCTTATTATTAGGATGGTAGCAATTTTTCATATACTTCTTGGTCATTCATATGTTTTCTTCTGAGAAATAGCTTTTGCCTATTTTTAAATTGGGCTATTTGTTTATTGCTATTGAATTGGTTGAGTTCTTATTTACTTTGGATATTAAACCATTTTTAGAGGTAGTTTACAATTATTTTTCTCATTTTGTAGGTTATCACTTCTTTCCACTGATTGTTTCCTTTATTGTGTAGAAGCTTTCTAGTTTGATGCAGTCCTAGCTGTCTATTTTTGCTTTTGCTGCCTGTGCTTTTGAGGTTTACAAAAGAGATCCTTAACTCCAGCCAATGTCATGAAATACTTCTCCTGTTTTCTTTTAGCATTCCATAGTTTTGAGTCTCACATTTAATTCTTTAATAAATAATGAGTGAAAGTCAGGTTACTTTTAAAGTAAAGATAAAAATTCAGCCAATGAAGAAAGTCAGGCAAGAAATTGTCTCTGAAAATGTTTAAGTATCCAGGATTATTCAAGGCCAATGTCCAGCAAACAATTAAATGTAAAGGAAACTAGAGTATAATTAAGTATCTAGTAAGTTCTCTCAAGAACAAGAGGAAGAGTGTTTCTGTGTAGATTTTAGAAAGAGCAGCCCAAACAGAATACAAGATTCATGAACTATACGATCTTTTATTATGTTTATGTAGCTCACATATCAGGAACAAAATGAGTAAGTAGTAATACCCACAGATGTTTAGTGGTACCATATGTAGTGTCTCACGGAGATTCCATTTGTGTGACCAAGTGCACACTGGAATGCTCAGAGCAGCAGAGAAAAGTACAGCAGCCAAAGAAAGTTTATGCACAATGTACTTAGGTGGGAGAGGAAGGGAATTTCAATATCACAAAGTGATAGACTATTTCAGAAGACATAGTAAAGAAAAGTAAAACCTGTAGACAATAAATTCTTTAACAAATAAGTGAGTGAAGCACAAGACCAGTTATAAACAGGAGGACTTCAGCCCAATCTCACCCACAGAAGCAGCTGGCATTTACGTGAATTGAAAATAATAAGAGAAGTAATTGACAATATTTAAATTGAAAGATTTCACATGAAAACTTGCATTCTTGCTTTACCTGGGAAACTGGACAATGTGGTAACACTAGGTCAACATTCCTGCCCTGCAACAATTATCTGGAACGGAGCAGCGGCTGCTCCTTTGGGAAGGACTTGGATCTCCAGCTCACAGCGGCGGCTTCCTGCTTCATTCCCCCCAGTCTGGCCTCTGTAGGCATTTGGGTTTCCAACTTCTGGAACAGAAAGGACCTTGAGGTAAGAGTTGAAGGACTCAATGTAGCCCTTGATAAGATGTAGAACTAATTTTTATTGATCATTTACCCTATACTTCACAGTTTCTTCAAAAAGGTAGAGTAGGAATTACCAGCAGTGTATCATGCATTATTATTAGTATACATAGGAACACCAGTAAGTGAGCTAAATGAAGCACACAGGTAATTTCCTTAGTAAAATTCAGTTGGCCCTGAGACTGTAATGATTCTTCAGCTAAAGGATGTAAACAGTATGGAGAATTGTCACCCAGTTTCGATGGTCGCTCACCTACCTTTTTCTCTTGGGACCACTATCAGTAATAACACATTACTATTATCTCAGGAATGCATCTGGGGGGTGGTCCAAGAATTATAGAATAAAATTGCACAATTTACTTAAATTAAGATACATAAGGTGCCACTAATTTCAGCCTCTGGATTTAAAGAACTGTTTTAACAAAGAAGAAAAAATTTTATAAGGTCTTTCATTGGTGTACTCAAGACTTTATATCCTTAATATGTTATACAACAACCATTGATAGTTTCTGTCATCTTGTTTTGTAATCCTGTATCATTTTTATTGTTTTTGTCTTCATTGTTGTTATTTGGTTATTTTTTTTTTCCTCTTTAAAATAAAAAAAAGACTTTATATCTTTTATTTTCTCCTAACCTCCAGGGAGATAGGAGGTACTTGCTCTAATGTGCTGTGTGATGATTCTTACTCAGTCTAGGTAACATAATCCTCATGGTCATTTAGCTTACTTTGCTTTGTTTTCAAGCCACTGGACAACCTTTTGATTATCTGACAGATTTCATGGTATTTCATTTTTGTACCAGGTGATGTATAAGTGAGTCACCTGGTATGGAAATGTGGTTTTTGTAAATGTTGATGGTCTGTGTTAAGATCCAGAGACTCTTTATTCTTGAGAGGAAAAAAATCAAGGTTTTTTGTTTAAATCAAGTGTTCTACTTGAAAGAGCTAAAGATCACAACCTGGACCACAGTTACTGCACTTGATACTCTGCCATCTTTGAGGTCTTCCTTGATAGTCAGTCTACTAGTTTTTAGTGCCACCTTCCTCTGGCATCATTATTAAAAAACTAGAAACTATTTTGGGTGAGAGCAGGACAAGGGAATATGCAGCACAGAAGTGGAAGCATGCTTTACTGGCGCTGTCACTCACAAAGCAGCCCAATAGATAAAGGAGCAACCTAAGGTGCGGAACAAGGTCGATGACCCTGACATGCTAAAGGGACTCCAGGGTTCACATGTAAGGTTTCAAGTACATACACAGCACCACTTCTGTGTGAAGTGCTGTGGTGGGCACTGGACACTCAAACACAAGGAGCCTGCTGCCTGGGGGAGTGGAGGGGCGGTTAGGGAGTTGGGCAGGCAGGCAATGCTGGAAGACAGCAGATGTGGTAGAAGTAAGTATAGAAAGTTAAAGGAGTACAACCAGGGTTTCAAGAGTAGGGGTGTTGGCAGGGGGCAGGATACCTTTAATAATGCAGAGACATCAGACAGGTGAAAACCAGTTAGTGGGAGACCTCAACTATGCAAATGATCTCCTTTCTATTTTAAAGAGAAGAGTAAGAAAAAGGAAAATAGCAAAATACCAATGTCACAGACAAAAACAAAACAAAGCAAAAAGATTAAAAATGGTGCAGGGTTTCAAAACAAAATGATAAGAATTACCAGTGGTTGTTATATTACCTACTGTTATCTTCAACGAAGTTGCTCAGATTACCTGATTTAAGAATGCAAGATTGATCGTTAATAATGAAAATGTTATATTTCTGTCTGTGAGTAATATTACAATATCATACTCATTTTTGAGCTGATAAGCTAACATAAAGGTTGCATTTTGCCAGACCTTTTAACCTTGAGATTTGACAAGTAACGAAGCATTAATGCGTATTTTCTACCAGATGTGTGGATTCTTGCCTGATGCTTGAAGTAGAATACAATGACCTGAAATCTTAGAGAAGCAAGTGCTGTCATCAAGAGAAAGTACTATCAAGGAATGATGATTCACGTAAATAAGAAAAGGATATTAGATGTGAGAGCACTGAAAGCAAAAAGCCAAAGGGGCAAGGTGTGGGTAAGGGAGATTAAAGTAGTTGAAAACTATTGGGCAGTATAGCTTTCAATAAAAGGACTCTATGAGGGATAAAAAGAAGATGACTGTAGTGTTAAAGGTTATTTTAGCCTAATGTATAAATAGCATTAACCTCTATGTTACTATATTTTAGGAGCTTGTGTTGAGCATTTTATCCGTACACATATTAGCTCATTTAATTTTTACTATAACTCTGTAAGGCATGAGCTTCCTTCTTTTTGAGAGCTGACACTAAAGCAAGGGAAATTAAGTACTTTACCTTTTCTTTCCAGCTCTAATAATTTATATCCCCCATACCTATTCTTTCTCTAAGTATTTATAACGGTCCAGCATTCTATATATTTTGCTTATCCTATTACTGTCTTTCTCCTCCCAATGCAAGCTCTGTGAGCACACAGGATAGAGCAGTCATCACAACACACATATATGCTTGCTCCTTTTTGTTCCTCAATGGATGTCTTCGTGTCATGGCATCTTTACCTTCCACGGGACAACGCACAGAACCCTATTCGTGCTCGAGGCAAGAGTGCTGGCTGAGTGGACGATGAGCACACCTGATCAGTCAGCGTGTGCTGAACCTCGCCGAGTCTGGTGCTCGGCCGGTCACCGAAAGATAGGGAAGCACAGAACACAGTGTCTGCTCTGAAAGAACTTAGCACTCAAGGATGGAAATAAGGCAGAAACATGAGGAATTTCTGGGGTGTAAAGATGTCCCTACATTCCAGAACTTTCCTTCTTCAATCCGTTAATGATGCCTAAAATGCCTAGTTTTGCCAAGGCTCCATGGTATACAGCTACATTATTAAGCTTTCTTGGAAACGCCTGCACTGTTCACAACTCTGCGCCTCTATACGCATTGTTCCCCGGGCACAGAAAGATTTTCCCAAAGCAACTTCCCGCTCACTCTTCCCCTGCAGAACTGCTTACGTGTGGAACAATACTTGACACACTCTATTTTAATGCACACATATGTTTTGTTTCGTGTATCTTTGTCATTGTGGTAGCAAACACATTATCAGGTGTGTGGTATTAGAATAATGTGCATAAAGTTGAATTAGCTTTTCTTACCTTTTATAATATTAAAGAACTTATTTTTACTCCCTTAAAATGTAACCATAGATGGAAAAATGCTTGTGAATAATAATGTCAAAACCATTGAGTGGTACACAAACACCTTTCAGGGATCTCGCTGTAGGTATGTATCCAAACCAAACTGGAGAATGAACAGAATCTACTTTTCTTATGTTATTTTTAGCACAATTTATAAACGCAGGGGATGTCCTCTGTACCTAGAAGAGATCCTAGATAATGACCTGTTGATCTATAAATGAATGGTGTATAGGCAAACCATGTCACTTAAATGCTAAAAGGCATGAACTAAATATACTATAGCAATTTAGATGAAGTAAAAAATAATACAACAGTGAACTCAGGGTAAGAGAGTTTGTTACTTGCAATTTTTAGCTATATAACTAGGCAAGACGTTTAAACTGAGCTTTAATTTGTAAAATTAATAGACTGGACCACATCAGTATTATTCAATTATTATATCAGGATTCTACTGTCAAATGAAAAACAAATGGAACGCCATTATATAAAACAGAAAAAGGTATTTGTTAGAAAAAAATTCATTTATAAGACAAAATTATGTTACTTATTTGAAGTCCATCAATAAGAACGGACTATTTTGATTAATAAAAAGTATACAGCTATGCAATGCTGGTGACACTGAAATTTTAAATCATTTTCATTAATAAGAATTTTTCTACTTTTTTGTTTTTTAGTATTGACACAATTCAAATTAACAAGGAGAAGTGGTTATAAATGGCAACAACTGTTTAAAATAGCTAACTTGGCAAAATTAAGATTTCTGCAATTAAAATGGTCCAGATACTTGCGGGAAGAGTAAGGAAAATGTTTTTTTCTAAGAACTCAATGACTATATTTAAGTATGATTCATGTTTCCACTTATGAATACAAAAATGGGCAAGAACTATCCAAAGCTAATTATATTATTCATTGAAATCTACCAATTATAACGGATGATACTGATTAATAAAAAATATGAAATCAAGAGATATTCAAGACAAATGCAATCTTAAATCATTTTCAAACTGTTAAGCAAGAAAACTTCCATTAATATAATGTTCTCATATTAGCTTGCCACAGCAAAAACGTCGATGAGTGTAAGGATATGTTAGAAAGATGCCCATATATCTTATTTGTATTTATACAGTTTGGCATACATATGCTGCAATAATGTTCTTGTTTGTTTAATTTGTCTTGGATATGTTATACTGGATCAAAGCTCTAAAAAGGCTAACTATAAACTGAAAAATAAAACCAAATACTTATAAGAAGTTTAAGTATCCACATTAACATTATTCAGGGAATGTTAGTCAGTAGCCCATAAAAACATAAACTAGTACTTTATTTTTGTTTTATGGCCTCTAATGTGTTATGATTTGGTATAATACAGTTCAAAGTGCATGTTATTTTTATTAGAGTTTTAACACACTTAAAATTTTTACAGATTTGAACATCATGTCTAACACTTGGAAAACCTTGAAGAACCTCAAGTAACTGGATATTCTTTCTGGTTTTTCTAACTCTATACCTGCATAACCTAGAAAAGCCAAAAAGATTTTTCAATTCAATCTTGTACACATTTACTGAGATTCAACCTCCACAAGACAGGAAAGAACCTGATCAGATAGAATTAGAGAACATAGGTGTAACAAGGAATATAGCTGTTAAAAAAACATATCAATCTTCCTAGGACAAGGTAAATCTTCACATACATAAGTTAAAATCACCTTTGGTATCAGAGAGCTGTGAAATCTCTAATATAGCATTGCTGGTATAGTGTATCTAATTTA